CACACAGCTGTAGACCACCACATCTGTAGACCACCACACAGCTGTAGACCACCACACAGCTGTAGACCACCACACAGCTGTAGACTACCACACAGCTGTAGACCACCACACAGCTGTAGACCACCACACAGCTGTAGACCACCACACAGCTATAGACCACCACACAGCTGTAGACCACCACAGAGCTGTAGACCACCACACAGCTGTAGACTACCACACAGCTGTAGACTACCACACAGCTGTAGACTACCACATCTGTAGACCACCACACATCTGTAGACCACCACACAGCTGTAGACTAACACACAGCTGTAGACTACCACACAGCTGTAGACTAACACACAGCTGTAGACCATCACGCAGCTGTAGACCACCACACAGCTGTAGACCATCACACAGCTATAGACTACCACAGAGCTGTAGACCACCACGCAGCTGTAGACCACCACATCTGTAGACCACCACACAGCTGTAGACCACCACACAGCTGTAGACCACCACACAGCTGTAGACTACCACACAGCTGTAGACCACCACACAGCTGTAGACCACCACACAGCTGTAGACCACCACACAGCTATAGACCACCACACAGCTGTAGACCACCACAGAGCTGTAGACCACCACACAGCTGTAGACTACCACACAGCTGTAGACTACCACACAGCTGTAGACTACCACATCTGTAGACCACCACACATCTGTAGACCACCACACAGCTGTAGACTAACACACAGCTGTAGACTACCACACAGCTGTAGACTAACACACAGCTGTAGACCATCACGCAGCTGTAGACCACCACACAGCTGTAGACCATCACACAGCTATAGACTACCACAGAGCTGTAGACCACCACGCAGCTGTAGACCACCACATCTGTAGACCACCACACAGCTGTAGACCACCACACAGCTGTAGACCACCACAGAGCTGTAGACTACCACAGCTGTAGACCACCACACAGCTGTAGACCACCACACAGCTGTAGACTACCACAGCTGTAGACCACCACGCAGCTGTAGACCACCACACAGCTGTAGACCACCACGCAGATATAGACCACCACACAGCTGTAGACCACCACAGCTGTAAACCACCACACAGCTGTAGACCACCACACAGCTGTAGACCACCACACAGCTGTAGACTACCACAGCTGTAGACTACCACACAGCTGTAGACTACCACACAGCTGTAGACCACCACACAGCTGTAGACCACCACACAGCTGTAGACCACCACGCAGCTGTAGACCACCACATCTGTAGACCACCACGCAGCTGTAGACCACCACACAGCTGTAGACCACCACAGAGCTGTAGACTACCACGCAGCTGTAGACCACCACAGCTGTAGACCACCACACAGCTATAGACCACCACACAGCTGTAGACCACCACACAGCTGTAGACTACCACAGCTGTAGACCACCACACAGCTATAGACCACCACACAGCTGGAGACTACCACACAGCTATAGACTACCACACAGCTGTAGACTACCACAGAGCTGTAGACCACCACACAGCTGTAGACTACCACACAGCTGTAGACCACCACACAGCTGTAGACCACCACACAGCTGTAGACCACCACACAGCTGTAGACCACCACACAGCTGTAGACTACCACAGAGCTGTAGACTACCACACAGCTGTAGACCACCACACAGCTGTAGACTACCACACAGCTGTAGACTACCACACAGCTGTAGACTACCACAGCTGTAGACCACCACATCTGTAGACCACCACACAGCTGTAGACTACCACAGCTGTAGACTACCACAGACAGTAGACCACCACACAGCTGTAGACCACCACACAGCTGTAGACCACCACACAGCTGTAGACCACCACATCTGTAGACCACCACACAGCTGTAGACCACCACACAGCTGTAGACCACCACGCAGCTGTAGACCACCACACAGCTGTAGACCACAACACAGCTGTAGACCACCACACAGCTGTAGACCACCACACAGCTGTAGACCACCACACAGCTGTAGACCACCACACAGCTGTAGACCACCACACAGCTGTAGACTACCACACAGCTGTAGACCACCACACAGCTGTAGACCACCACACAGCTGTAGACTACCACACAGCTGTAGACTACCACAGCTGTAGACCACCACACAGCTGTAGACCACCACACAGCTGTAGACCACCACACAGCTATAGACCACCACGCAGCTGTAGACCACCACACAGCTGTAGACCACCACACAGCTGTAGACCACCACACAGCTGTAGACTACCACACATCTGTAGACCACCACACAGCTGTAGACCACCACACAGCTGTAGACTACCACACATCTGTAGACCACCACACAGCTATAGACTACCACATCTGTAGACCACCACACAGCTATAGACTACCACACAGCTGTAGACTACCACACAGCTGTAGACCACCACACAGCTGTAGACCACCACACATCTGTAGACCACCACACAGCTGTAGACCACCACACAGCTGTAGACCACCACACAGCTGTAGACCACAACACAGCTATAGACTACCACACAGCTGTAGACCACCACAGCTGTAGACCACCACACAGCTGTAGACTACCACACAGCTGTAGACCACCACACATCTGTAGACCACCACACAGCTGTAGACCACCACACAGCTGTAGACCACCACGCAGCTGTAGACTACCACAGACAGTAGAACTGTTTATCATCACAATCAGTGGACGTTGTCACTGATTGTCACGTGGGTTGATTTGTCTTTGTCCTCGTTATCGACGTGAGCCCCCCCCCCCCAGCTCCCTCTTCCAAGCCCCCCTCTGCACCCACAACGCAATTAGCGAATTAATTATCTAATATTTAAATGTCTGTGGTTGGAGGGATGGGATGTGATTAATGAGGCTTCGAATGCACGCAGGTGTGTCGCGTTAAGTGGCCAATCCAGCGATCCTTATGAATTATATAACGCGATTTTAATGTTTTTCATCGCGTGTATATATATTTTTTCCCCGTTAAACGAGTGCACGCGATATAATGTCGCGTTATATAATCGATGCTCTCTGGTTCTTTCGGTGAAGTCACACAAGCGTCGGTCATCAGTCACGAAAGCTTCAGATCAAGATGATTTACACGACTTGGTTTTTTTCTCCCGGTAAAGTCACGTAGGCTAAAAAAAAGATTGATACAAAATTTAACTTAAAATAAAACAAAAATGAAAGCAACTCAATTAAATCGCGACGTTTCGGAGCCAAAGCAAGCTTCCTTCATCAGATGTAAACAGCACAGCAAAATTACTGTAGGAATAGGAATTACTGTAGGAATAGGAATTGCTGTAGGGATAGGAATTACTGTAGGAATAGGAATTACTTTAGGGATAGTACAGTAATTTTGCTGTGATGTTTAGATCTGATGAAGGAAGCTTGCTTTGGCTCCGAAACGTCGTGATGTAAATGAGTTGCTTTCATTTTATTTTTCTACCTACGCGACTTTACCGAAAGAACAAAACAGTATGGATCCTTGCAGTCACGAAAGCTTGAAATCAAAATTCAAGATTATATAATTGAGTATTTTTGTTTTTCTTCTATAGCTTAAATGTCATTTGTCCGCGCGCGTGCGGGACGCATCGGGCTCCAAGCGCCGGCCACCTCGACCGGTGACGATGACTCCGTCCACCCCCCCCCACCCCGTGTGCCTGTCAGGGTGTTCGTGTCTTTGTGTGCGTGTCTGTCAGGGTGTACGTGTCTTCGTGTGCGTGTCTGCCAGGGTGTACGTATATTTGTGTGCGTGTCTGTCAGGGTGTTCGTGTCTTTGTGTGCGTGTCTGTCAGGGTGTCCGTGTCTTTGTGTGCGTGTCTGTCAGGGTGTACGTCTCTTCGTGTGGGTGTCTGTCAGGGTGTACGTGTCTGTCAGGGTGTACGTGTCTTGGTGTGCGTGTCTGCCAGGGTGTACGTGTCTGTGTGCGTGTCTGTCAGGGTGTATGTGTCTGTCAGGGTGTACATGTCTTAGTCTGCGTGTCTGTCAGAGTGTACGTGTCTTAGTGTGCGTGTCTGTCAGGGTGTGCGTGTCTTAGTGTGCGTGTCTGTCAGGGTGTGCGTGTCTTAGTGTGCGTGTCTGTCAGGGTGTACGTGTCTTGGTGTGCGTGTCTGTCAGGGTGTACGTGTCTGTCAGGGTGTACGTGTCTTAGTCTGCGTGTCTGCCAGGGTGTACGTGTCTTTGTGTGCGTGTCTGTCAGGGTGTACGTGTCTTGGTGTGTGTGTCTTCGTGTGCGTGTCTGTCAGGGTGTACGTGTCTTGGTGTACGTGTCTTCGTGTGCGTGTCTGCCAGGGTGTACGTGTCTAGGGTTTGTTCCATATTCTCGACAAAATCTTGGGGGAGCGGCGGCGCAGTGGTTAGGGCGCTGCACTCTGAGCCCGTGCCTGGGAGTCGATTCCCGGCCACGACTAACAGCAGTGGCGAAATGTTAACCACCTCGCCTGGTATGCAGGAGGTCGTGGGTTCGATCCCGACCCTGATTATGCCTGCTGTATATTTGTAGTTTGCGTGTCTTTCTCTCTTTCATCATCATCATCATCACGGTGGCTTAGGAGATGTTAACTACCTCGCCCGGTATGCAGGAGGTCGTGGGTTCGATCCCGACCCTGATTACGCCTGCTGCTGCTGCTGTATATTTGGAGTTTGCGCGTCTCCCTCCCCGTGGTCGCGTGGATTTTTCTCCGGCTCCTGCGGTCTTTCCACCTCCACATTTCGAATAAGCATCGCGCGCTTAAGACTCTTTGACTGCTGTACATTTCCACGTGACGATGTTGATGATGATAAGCCACTTCGTTGAGCTCTCACTTGTGACGGCCAGGCCTCTTCTGAGAAAGAGCAACGTAGCTCTCAGTGTGCCTTGCTTACCTGATAAAATACAAAATCGTTTAGTCTTAATCTTTTTTTTTGCACTGGCTGTGTAGGTTGCATACGAATGGAGCGCTAACAGGTGTTGTGTGTCCATTGTCCCCTACCTGCACAGGTGTCTTCCTCTCGCTTATGCGCCTCCATCACCACCACCACCATCATCAGCAGCAGCAGCAGATATCTCGATCATAATCATCACTTCTTACGATCTTCATCTTGACTAACAAATCACCATCCGCTCGGTCACAATCAACAACAACATCATCATCATCAGCAGCTCCACCCTCATCAATATCATCAGAGCCATCGCCCCCACTATTGTCATCACCATCAGCAACAACAACATCATCACACCCATCATCACCCCCTCCTCCCCTGCCCATCCATCACCTTCGCTCGCCACCACTCCCATCACCAGGCACCCCGCGATGGCCACCGTGGACCCCGCGTCTCGCCTCGCGGGGACTCTGCGGGCCCCCTCCTCCTCCTCCTCCTCCTCGCTCTCCCACGCCGACCTCGCCACGGCCGTGCCGGGGCTGCCCCCCATCGGCGTCTCCTCGGACCCCGCGTGCCACGCTCCTCCCGGCGGCCTCCCCACCCCTCCATCGTCCGCCTCCTCCTCGTCCTCCTCCTCGTCGTCCGCCGGCTGCGCGGCCGCCGCCGCCGCCGCCGCCGCCTCCTCCTCCTCCTCCTCCTCCTCCTCCAAGTCGGCGGCGCGCAAGACGACGGCGGGGTCGAGGAGGCCCGAGAAGCCCCCCTACTCCTACATCGCCCTCATCGTCATGGCCATCCAGAGCGCCCCGTCGCGTCGCGTCACCCTCAGCGAGATCTACCAGTTCCTCCAGAGCCGCTTCGCCTTCTTCCGCGGCGCCTACCAGGGCTGGAAGAACTCGGTGCGCCACAATCTGTCGCTCAACGAGTGCTTCGTGAAGCTGCCCAAGGGACTCGGACGCCCGGGCAAGGGCCACTACTGGACCATCGACCCGGCGAGCGAGTTCATGTTCGAGGAGGGCTCCTTCCGACGCCGCCCGCGCGGCTTCCGACGCAAGTGCCAGGCACTGAAGCCCATGTACGGAATGATGAACGGCCTCGCCTTCAACCACTCCGTCTTCGACTTCCAGGCGCCCATGGGAGGCCTCCAGTACCCCGGCTCCAACGGCTGCGGCGTAGGCAGCCTCGCGGTGGGGGGTCACCAATCGCTGCAGGAGGCTTTGGCCGGTGTGGAGCCGTGCGTTGCCGGCAACGGCTCCGTCCTCTCCGCCGTTGTGCAGCAGCAGCAGCAGCAGCAGCAGGCGGCGGTGGGGGCCGCAACGTCTGCGTCGGCGTCGGCTTCGTCGGCGACGGGAGCGGAGGCCTCGTCCGCGCATCTGCCCTACGTGGAGTTCAACCCGCAGCTCGCCGGCTCCGTGGTCTCCTCGGGACTCGATGTCGGCGGCTCGTACGGCGGCGGCGGCGGCGGCGGAGGAGTAGGGGGCCAGTCGGGCCAGCAGGCGTGGCACAACTCTCACCACCATCACCACCACCACCACCACCCCGCCACGCACCACCACCCCGCCACGCACCCGGGCCACCACCACCCTCACCACCACGGCCACCACAGTCACCAGCAGCAGGCGCCGAACCCGTTCGTTTTCAACCCGGCGGCAGCGTCGGCCGCAGCCTCGTCGTCCTCGTCGCCCGAGCACATGTACAACGCTCACGCCACGGTGCGCGAGCCCCCCGGAGCACTCTCGGGTGAGTCCGCTCGGGGAGTCGGCCGTGACGTCCCCCGGCCTGGGAATGTGGAATTTGTCGGATGTACAGCAATGACCACGCTCCTCGCTGCTGCGACGGCGAATATCGAAAGGACGCCAATCATCGCAGCGATTTAACAGGGGTAGTAGTAGCAGTAGTGGGTGGGTGGTGGGTGGTGGTGGTGGTGGTGGGAGTAGTGGGTGGTGGTGGTAGTGGGTGGTGGTGGTAGTAGTGGTGGGTGGGTGGTGGTAGTGGTGGGTGGTGGTGGTAGTAGTGGGTGGTGGTAGTAGTGGGTGGTGGTGGTAGTATTGGTGGGTGGTGGTGGTAGTGGTGGTGGGTGGTGGTAGTAGTGGTGGTAGTGGTGGTGGTAGTAGTGGTGAGTGGTGGTGGTAGTAGTAGTGGTGGGTGGTAGTAGTGGTGGTAGTATTGGTGGGTGGTGGTGGTAGTGGTGGTGGGTGGTGGTGGTAGTAGTGGTGGTGGTGGTAGTAGTGGTAGTATTGGTCGTGGTGGGTGGTGGGTGGTGGTGGTGAAGGCTGAGAGGCGACAGACAGCGAGAGAGGAACGGACGACGCTACAGTCAGCGTCGTGAGCGTGTGGGGGTTGAGGCGACGCAGGTCAAGGTAGCGGTGGCGGTGTTGATATAATACAGTGGCGACGTACTTGCGAAACGACGTAAAAGAGGGAGACGTAACTCGGGGTATTAATGGACTTGCAACTCGAGCTTAATGTATAATGTACCCCCCCCCCCTCCACAAACAATCACCACCTCAGGATCCTGGCCCCTCTTAGTGTGAACCTCGTTCTGTTTATAGCCGGGCGGTGGCGGTGGCTACGCTGCTGCTGCACGTGGCAACTGCCTGTGTGTGTGTGACCCAGCACTGTGTGTGTGTGTGACTCAGCACTGTGTGTGTGTGTCACCCAGCGCTGTGTGTGTGACCCAGCCTGTGTGTGTGTGACTCAGCACTGTGTGTGTGTTTCACCCAGCACTGTGTGTGTGACCCAGCCTGTGTGTGTGTGACTCAGCACTGTGTGTGTGACTCAGCACTGTGTGTGTGTGACCCAGCACTGTGTGTGTGTGACCCAGCACTGCGTGTGTGTGACCCAGCGCTGTGTGTGTGTGACTCAGCACTGTGTGTGTGTGACCCAGCACTGTGTGTGACTCAGCACTGTGTGTGTGACCCAGCACTGTGTGTGTGTGACCCAGCACTGTGTGTGTGTGACCCAGCACTGTGTGTGTGTGACCCAGCACTGTGTGTGTGTGACCCAGCACTGTGTGTGTGACTCAGCACTGTGTGTGTGTGACCCAGCACTGTGTGTGTGTGACTCATCACTGCGTGTGTGTGACCCAGCACTGTGTGTGTGTGACTCAGCACTGCGTGCGTGTGACCCAGCACTGTGTGTGTGTGTCACCCAGCGCTGTGTGTGTGACTCAGCACTGTGTGTGTGACTCAACACTGTGTGTGTGTGACCCAGCACTGTGTGTGTGTGTGACCCAGCACTGTGTGTGTGACTAAGCACTGTGCGCGTGTGACCCAGCACTGTGTGTGTGACCCAGCACTGTGTGTCTGTGACCCAGCAGAGCACTGTGTGTGTGTGACCCAGCACTGTGCGCGTGTGACCCAGCACTGTGTGTGTGACCCAGCACTGTGTGTCTGTGACCCAGCAGAGCACTGTGTGTGTGTGACCCAGCACTGTGTGTGTGTGACCCAGCACTGTGTGTGTGACCCACCACTGTGTGTGTGTGACCCAGCACAGCACTGTGTGTGTGTGTGACCCAGCACTGTGTGTGTGACTCAGCACTGTGTGTGTGACTCAGCACTGTGTGTGTGTGACTCAGCACTGTGTGTGTGTGACTCAGCACTGTGTGTGTGTGTGACACAGCACTGTGTGTGTGACCCAGCACTGTGTGTGTGACTCAGCACTGTGTGTGTGACCCAGCACTGTGTGTGTGTGACCCAGCACTGTGTGTGTGTGACCCAGCACTGTGTATGTGTGTGACCCAGCACTGTGCGTGTGTGACCCAGCGCTGTGTGTGTGTGACCCAGCACTGTGTGTGTGACCCAGCACTGTGTGTGTGTGACCCAGCACTGTGTGTGTGACCCAGCACTGAATGTGTGTGACTCAGCACTGTGTGTGTGTGACCCAGCACTGTGTGTGTGACCCAGCACTGAATGTGTGTGACTCAGCACTGTGTGTGTGTGACCCAGCACTGTGTGTGACCCAGCACTGTGTGTGTGTGTGTGACCCAGCACAGCACTGTGTGTGTGTGACCCAGCACTGTGTGTGTGTGACCCAGCACTGAATGTGTGTGACTCAGCACTGTGTGTGTGTGACCCAGCACTGTGTGTGACCCAGCACTGTGTGTGTGTGACCCAGCACTGGGTTGGTGATAGCAGCAGAAGCAGCAGCTGGGGGTTGGTGGACCACACACAGATGCTGTGTGAAGCTCCCTTCTCCTATCCGTTGGGGGGCGGTATCGAGGAAAAGCTCGTGCCCGGACTCTGACGGGAGAAGGTGGTACAGCAGAAATGCGGACTAATCTCCATCTGTGCCTTCTGCGTGGGATACAGCGTCACTCCCCGTCTCTCTGACGCGTGCGTTTTCTGCAGGTGCTCCGGTTTCCATTGATTGGCTGAACACGTATCAATATACATACATATATACATAGAGGATCGCAGAGCTTGGGCAATTGTTGATAGCGTCGTCGGCTCTCCGCCTGCCTGGCTGCCTTGACAAGGTTTGGACAACTGTGGTCCCCCAGTGACTGTGTGAGATGCGATTATGTATAAAAAACTAAATATCAGAGTACGGCAATACCCCCCACCACCACCATCCCCGGTTGACGTCGGGGATGCGTTCTCTGAAAGGTGCGATGGCGACGGTGAATATTGAAACGACGTCAATACATCGACGCGATTTAACGGGTGGTAGTAGCAGTAGTGGTGGGTGGTGGTGGTGGGTGGTGGTGGTAGTAGTGGTGGGTGGTGGTGGTAGTAGTGGTGGTGGTGGTAGTAGTGGTGGGTGGTGGTGGTAGCAGTAGTGGTGGGTGGTGGTGGTAGTAGTGGTGGGTGGTAGTAGTAGTAGTAGTGGTGGTAGTAGTGGTGGGTGGTGGTGGTAGTAGTGGTGGTAGTAGTAGTGGGTGGTGGTGGTAGTAGTGGTGGTAGTAGTGGTGGGTGGTGGTGGTAGTAGTGGTGGGTGGTGGTGGTAGCAGTAGTGGTGGGTGGTGGTGGTAGTAGTAGTAGTGGGTGGTGGTAGTAGTAGTGGGTGGTGGTAGTAGTGGTGGGTGGTGGTGGTAGTAGTGGTGGTGGTGGTAGTGGTGGGTGGTGGTGGTGGTAGTAGTGGTGGTAGTAGTAGTAGTGGGTGGTGGTAGTAGTGGTGGTGGTGGTAGTAGTAGTGGGTGGTGGTGGTAGTAGTAGTGGGTGGTGGTGGTAGTAGTGGTGGGTGGTGGTGGTAGTAGTAGTAGTGGGTGGTGGTAGTAGTGGTGGTGGTGGTCGTAGTAGTGGGTGGTGGTGGTAGTAGTGGGTGGTGGTGGTAGTAGTGGGTGGTGGTGGTGGTAGTAGTAGTAGTGGGTGGTGGTAGTAGTGGTGGTGGTGGTAGTAGTAGTGGGTGGTGGTGGTAGTAGTAGTGGGTGGTGGTGGTAGTAGTGGGTGGTGGTGGTAGTAGTAGTAGTGGGTGGTGGTGGTGGTAGTAGTGGGTGGTGGTGAAGGCTGAGAGGCGACTGATAGCGAGAGAGGAATGGACGGACGACGCCGCAGTCAGCGACGTGAGACTGTGTGGGGGTTGAGGCGACGCTCGTCAAGCTAGCGACGGCGTTGATAATGAAGTGACGACGTACTTGGGGGACGCGTAAAAAGCGGGTATTACCGGACCTGTATTATTCACCATTCGTGCCCGAAAGGCACCTCGTGTTTAAGCAAATAAACTCCTTAAAAAAGGGTTTTTTTTTTAAACAACGGTTTTATTATTAACAACTTCGTTTAACTCACGGTGCGAGACGTACGTCTATGGCGCCTGCGTTTTGTGCGAGCCGATTCCACAGTTTAGGGCCCGCGGTGTTTTTCACTTACACAACTATATATAAGTAATAAGGCGTCCATGCAAAAATTTTAATTGTTTGAAAGGAGGCAATTAGTTGATGAATTGTTGCCGACTTTGATACAGGCGCGCGTTGTCTCCGGATCTGAGTACCTGTGGAAATTTTGGAATTGATTGGACAAGCGGAAGTTGACTAACTTTCGATTACAACATTTTACCACGACAAACGCGAGCGAAGTTAAATAAAACCTTAGAGAGAAAAAAAAGATACGCTGACTTGAATATCGGCAGAGCACAGACGGCACTGAATCCTGACGTAGAGATAGCAGCGGCTTGGGTGAAGCCTCCATCCAGCAGCGTGGCTCGATCCCGTGACTGATGATGTTCATGAGACGCTTTGATTTATTGACAATCGAAGAGACGTGTGTATTCACTCGGGATTTGAATTTTGGGCAGCCCAGCCATTGGCCATTGATGGAAACCGGGTTCTCAGGAGTTGATGGTATCAAGTGTCGGTCGCCAGTGTGCCGACCACAGAGACCCATCGACTCGCATAGAGACCCGTAGACTTACACAGATACCTATAGCCTTACATAGAGACCCGTAGACTTACACAGAGACCTATAGACTTACATAGAGACCCGTAGACTTACACAGAGACCTATAGACTTACATAGAGACCCGTAGACTTACACAGAGACCTATAGACTTACATAGAGGCCAGTAGACTCACGCAGAGACCCATCGACTCGCCTACAGACCAATAGTCTCACATAGAGTTACACAGAGACCCATAGACTTACAGCGAGACAAAAAGACTCGCACAGAGACCCGTATCCTTGCACAGCGACTCATAGACTTACATATAGACCCATAGACCCGCGTAGAATGAGTTGTGATTAAGTCATGTTCTCGAGTGCAGCGCGTTAATTGTCTCAGTTCGGTCACCAATCACTGCACACAAACACGACAACAACCCAAGTACATTCCGTTTGGCTCTGCTCCTAATTTCGCTAAGTTCCATCTCATAAAAATGAAACATTGCGGTTTAACCGGTCACGCAACTCTCAAATGGCAGGGCGGGTGGGCAAGTGTTGGCCTCCACTGTGCGTGGACCAGAGTGGGTCACTCGAAGAATGGAGCTCAGTGGTAGCTCTGTGATCTCTGCTTCCGCTGGCCGTTCTCGAACACGGAGGGGGTGGCGGGCGGGGGGGGAGGGCGCTGCTCACTCGAGATTTGCGAAAGGATCGCGCAATGTTCTACACGGGAGGGCCATCGCCCAAAACGTCGCCTATTGCTTTCTTTCAAGGCCACGGTGTTGCTATTGACGACACGTGTCGAGTAGGTGGCCATTGTGCGTGTGCTGCTACTGCCAGCGCAGCAAAACAGCAGCAGCATCGCCAAAATAAACGACACACCTACATCAGCTCAAGCCTCCCGTACATCACGTGGCTTCTGTTGTGGCCACTCCCATTCTGATGAACCCCTCTCCCCGCCCACTGTGAAAACAGACGCCGCTCCTCCGTGCAGCTGCAGCAGCGTGGAGGCCCTGACACAGCAGCCTCCTCATCCTCCTCCCTCTCCTCATCTCTCCTCGCTCTGTTACTTTCCCATCCTCTAACATCCCCATTTCTTCCTCCCCTCTCTTCCCTCTCCGATCCCTTTTCCCGAATAATTCCATCCTTGATTCTACTCCCCCACCCCCCCTACCTACCCGTGGTGTGGCCACGGCTAACAAAAGTTGGTCTAATATGTGCACGTGCCTACGTGTGTGTGTGTGATAGGTGGGAGCGATAGTGTAGCGGTTAGCGCGCTGCGCTATGAACCTGGCGACCCGGGTTCGATTCCCGCTCACGGCCAACACCAGTGACGATTATCTGAACCGGTCCCGGGCCTCCCCTAGGTCGACTCAGCCTCAAATGAGTACCTGGTGCGGTGTGTAAACATCGCCACTAGGGAGACAAAGGCGGTCGGGCGTGGTGCTGGCCACCCACCCCCTCGTGTACCGTTCCGGCCTTCATAGGTGCTCGCTAACAGCACTTGCCCCTACAGTCTGTTAAGGCTATACGGGGGATCTTTGTGTGTGATAACACGTGTGTCAATGTGTGTGTAAAAGTCTCTGTGTGTGCGGGGAGCGGTGGTGTAGCGGTCAGTGCACTGCGCTACGAACCCGGCGGCCCGAGTTCGATTCACGCTCACGGTCAACACCGGTGACGATTACCTGAACCGGTCCTGGGCCTCCTCCCCTAGGTCGACTCGGCCTCAAATGAGTACCTGATGCGGTGTGTGAACATCGCCAATGGGGGAGACAAAGGCGGCCGGGCGTGGTGCTGGCCACCCACCCCCCCCCCCGTGTGCCGTGCCGGCCTTCATAGACGCTGCTCGCTAACAGCACTTGCCCCTACAGTCTGTGAAGGCTACAAGGGTGGTCTTTGTCTTGCTCACCAATGCGATCGCTGTCCCGCAGGAGTGATGTCTCGCTACGGGAGCTCCTCGCCGGCGCTGTGCGAGCACAAAGACTTCGGCTTCCACTTCAACTCCCTGCACGGGGGCGGGGCGGGTCCCCTGCAGCACGCGGGCCTCCACGGGGGCGGCTTCTACTCGTCGCAGCCCGCCTACCTGCACGACGTGAAGCCCTGCCTCAACTAAGCACGCCCCGCTCGCCGCCTGCGTGTCGGGACAACTCGCGCAGCCGACCTGCCTGCCTACCTGCCTGCCTGCCTGCCCAGCCACTCACCTACGTGGTGGACAGACGGCAGCCTCGCTCACCTGCCTACCTACCTACCTGCCCAGCCACTCACCTGTATGGACGATCACTCGCCTGCCCACCCAGCCCTTCACCTGTATGGACAGGATAGTCACTCGCCCCCCTCCGCCCCCCACCCAAGCACTGACCTGTATGGACAATTAGCCACCTGTACATACGGTCAATCACCTGCCTGGACAGTCACTCACCTGCCCGTCCAGCCATTCACCTGTCTGCCTTGCCGATAACCTTGCTGCCCACCTACTCGCCTATCTGGAGAGTCGCTCACCTGTCTGTAAGGTCGCTCACCTGTCTGTAAGGTCGCTCACCTGTCTGTAAGGTCGCTCACCTGTCTGTAAGGTCGCTCACCTGTGTGACTGTTCGATCACCTGGCCGCCCGCCCCACCCAGCCAGGCACTCGTTGTTTTGGCCGATCACCTGCCTATCACCGGCCTATCTCACACGTGTGCCTACCTGCCTATCTACCCCCAAACCCTGCGCAGTCATTCACCATACCCGTAGCTGCCCTCCATCCTTCTCACCTATGCCACGACCACCACTCCCCCCAACCCCCTCCATGTGAACGGTTGTAATGCATATTATAAACACCTGCACGGCGTATGAACAATGCCACCAAACGTCTCGGTTTGGCCAGGACAGTTTCCGTGGGTTTCACGAAGTCTGCCCCAGAGCTTCCCCGTGCATCGTTTGCGAAGAAAGTCTGAATGTCGTCTCTCTGACTTAAATGGGTTTTTTTTCCCATCCTCTCGCCACGTGGCTCGAACTCTTTAATATGGGGGGGCGGGGGGATAGCCTTACCTTAAGCATCGCGCGTGGTTGGCAGAGTGGGTGGGGCCCTACAGAGTAGTGGGTGGAGCTAATGACAGGTCACGCCCCCCTCCCCTTATATGGACGGGCGGGGGGCTAGTGGCTGAGTGGGCGTGGTTATGAATCGGCCACGTGGCCTTTTGGGTTGAGCCTGCCAGAATTTTGCTCGCTTTATAAAGTACAGTATACACTGCAGCACGCTGTTGTCCCCCCCCCCCCATGTAAATGGTGTGGACCGGGGCTAAATGAATTGGGTGGGGCGTGGTTATGCAAAACTTGGGCGGAGCTGATGAAGGGGAGGGAGTTTGCAAGACGCAGCCACGTGGCCTTGGTTGAGCCTACCAGAAATGTGCCCGCTTTATAAACATTTTGGTCTCCCCCACCTTCCCCTCCACCCTCACCTCACCCCCTCCCCCCTGTCCCCACTGCCCCCCCCCCCCCCCCCCACTATATAAGACGTGCAAGAGAGGCACGTGCTGTGAGCACGTGCGTGCTGTAGAGAATGTAGAATTTGAAAATAACAAGCGGTACGGTCACGTGTTGTTATTGTTGTTGTTTTCCTATGCACGTGACCACACAGGTCAACGCGGACAAATTGTGGCCAATCACGTGCCGCCAGTTTGTTAACCCAATCGGCGTGGAGTTGGTCATTATATTATTGCACACACACTCATCGCATACACATTATATATTTTATTATTTCGCGTCGTGTTGTGTTATCTGTTGTGTGTGTTTCGAAGTCTCCGGAGGAAATATGCCCCGTTGTGAGCGGTGGGTGACCTGCTGCCGTTTTGCCTCGCTGTCAAAACTCGATGCTAGAGTCCCTACGTGTACGCCCCAGTAAACATGCCAACGTCGGGCCAACGTTGAGCCACAGGGTTCGAACTTTTGGACCAACGTTGACCCAACGTTTGTCCCGACGTTCCAAATTCACTCGGTAGCCGTGCAACGCTTTGGCAACCTTGGGCCACGGGGTCCGAACCGTTGGACCAACGTTGACCTAAAGTTTGCCTGACGTTCCATGTTCACTGGGTAGCCATCCAACGTTGGTCCAACGTTGGCCCCAACGTTCCACGTTTTACTGGGCAAGATACGTTATAGACGGATCTTCACGTACAATAGGTGTACAGGGACTCCTCTGCTTACGAACGAGTTAGGTTCCTGAGGTGTGTATGTTCGTAAGTCCAACTTTACTCCTGTCGATTCCAAACGTGTTGTACGGCATGTACACTAAACGCAGGGAAACACTAAACACGGGGCATTGCTTTAAAAGTTGTACAATCTCCTGCAGATTTAGATGCCACTGGTTCTTTACGTTCTACAGATTTAGATGCCACCGCCGCCATCTATTACGCTGCGGTTGAACTTACGACAGGCAACTCGACGTACGGGCCAGCTTTGTTCGCATCTCTGAAAGTTCCTAAGTCGAATGTTCGTAAATAGAGGAGTCCCTTTATACTGGTAGGAACGAAGTTGTAAACTGAGTGTACCAGCCTGCAATAGATTAATGTGTCCGTCCGTCCGTCCCCTTTCAATACTTTAACGAAGTGAAAAATTCCAATGTTCCTACCAGCCCACCCTGCAAGGACCTGTTCTGTAGCCCTATGTCTAAGGCTACCCAAACGTCCCAGTTTGGCCTGGTGGTCGTTCGAAAGTGCGTCCCATGCGTTTGTCCCTCCCGAAGCATTCGTTACAAATTCAAGATTTTTGCCTCCTGGCCATAATCCAATCTGTAAAATGACGAGAGAAAGAGAGAGAGAGAAAAAACTACGAGTTTCAAATCGCACGCGGACGCGTGTACACAAACGCACACGCGGCCTCTGTGCATTATGCGCAAGCCACCAGAAGAAGCTCCTGCAGAACTCCATCAAAATAAATTTGAGTGAATGTCACCCGACTGACAGGCACCAGTGATGAGACAACCGTGGAACCGGCTTCGTCATAAGTAGAACTCATCAGTACAGCACGGTCGCCGATGCTCGCCGCTGCCAAGTCTGCCTCTGGGAAGCGGTGTATGCCGAGTTCGCGCTTCCACGCTTTGGGCCCCCAGAAGCCACAGATTCGCCACGTGGTCGACTCGTCGAGATGCGGCCGAAGGAGGGCGCGGGTTTTAACCCGAGCAATAGTGGGCATGGTTATGTTAAACGGTAGGCGGGGGGTTGTTGGCAGTGGGCGGGGCTGGAACTGCGTGGGCGTGGCTATGTAAATCTAGGCGGGGCTGCCAATTCATCCCATGTGCCTATAGGTTGAGCCTCCAATATATTTACGTGGACAGCAAACAAAATCAAACACGTGGCCTTAAAACGAAACCGCTTCGGGCAAATGGGCCTTGTTCAAAGCACAGTGCATGCATAGACCTACACGGGCAATATATGTTGTATCTATAGACATACTTGTACAGAGGCCCACATGTACAGACTTAACATTTGCAATATGTGTTGTATCTATAGACATGCTTGTACAGAGGCCCACATGTACAGACTTACGTTTGCAATATATGTAACCAGTGCTTAACTGGCAGCCGGAACAGCAGCCCCCAGAACGACGTTATATGTACGGGGCCGGTCGCGGCGCTCGCTATGCTTACTGCACCGTGGCCTGTAGTTCGGCACTGTGTGTGGAGAGGCAACGGCATCGCGGCGGGGGAGGGGTGGATCACACGCAGGTGTTGTGAAACTCCATTCCTGGCTGGGTAGGTGGTGGCGGTCGAGGAGGTGCCGTGCGCACCCCTGCCTCGCCAGCAGGTGGCGCTGGAGCAGAGCGTGCGGGACTCCATCCGTTCCATCTGCGAGGGATGCGCGGAGCGCTGTTGCGCTTCCCGTTGTATTCGCGCGAGCGGGGTTTTTGTCACGCGCACAAACGCCGGCGGGGAGGTCTTACACCAGGCCGCGGAGGGGTGGGTGCCACGGTCGCTTCGTTGAGCTGTCATTTGTGATGGCCAGATCGGTTCTGAAAAAGAGCTACATTGCTCAGTGGGGCCTTACCTGGTAAAATGATAAATCGTTTTTAGTTTAATTCCTAATCACCTCCACCCCCCCTTCCTCCGAAGAACGTAAGCTAGATCGAGGTCATACATAACATCTAATTGCGGTGGATTTTAACAACGAGCAGCCTGCTGTGTGTGTGTACGTTGAACTTCTTTCGCACCGTACATAAGCCAACTGTGCCAATCGGAGGTGCTGCCGTGTGGGGGAGGGGGAGGGGGCACGAGTTTGAGTTACCTCCTGGGTATGACGCACGTGGAGCTGAGCCCTCGTAGGCCCTCGGCAAGGCCTTTTAAATACGAGCGGTAGACACGATCTTGCAAAGTGCACGTGGGACATCGGTGACGGCCTATCCGTGAGTTAGCTTGTTATGACCGCTCACTCTTAACGGCAGAATTCTGACCACCACCGGATTTTTAATGGCAGATTTCTGACTACCATCGGATTTGTAACGGCAGAATTCTGACTTCCACCGGATTTTTAACGGCAGAATTCTGACCACCACCGGATTTTTAACGGCAGAATTCTGACTACCATCGGATTTTTAACGGGAGAATTCTGACCACCACCGGATTTTTAACGGCAGAATTCTGACTACCACCGGATTTTTAACGGCAGCATTCTGACTACCATCGGATTTTTAACGGCAGAATTCTGACCACCACCGGATTTTTAACGGCAGAATTCTGACTACCACCGGATTTTTAATGGCAGAATTCTACTACCACCGGATTTGTAACGGCAGAATTCTGACTACCACCGGATTTTTAATGGCGGAATTCTACTACCACCGGATTTGTAACGGCAGAATTCTGACCACCACCGGATTTTTAACGGCAGAATTCTGACCACCACCGGATTTTTAACGGCAGAATTCTGACCACCACCGGATTTTTAACGGCAGAAATCTGACTACTACCGGATTTTAACAGCTTCTGACTATCTCCAGCCGGATTTTGTTTCTCACATCCATAATTGCCCCCTCTCCCACCCACCCACCCACACCTTCCAATGTTTTTTTTTCCATAATAAAAATAATCCAATTACAAGTGGGAATCTTCTCTAGAAGCGAGAAATATTTTTTTTAAAGATGTTAAAGTTATTGCGTTATTGCAAGACAAGTACTTTTTTTTATAAGACGATGAGATTCTATATTTCGTGAATTCTTGGCACCTAGAATTTTAGCGACAACATGAGCATAATTTTTTTTTACTTCCGTGTAAGGAACAGACGGAACTAGTAGGCATATAACGACCCGTCGAGTAATCGATGTCAAAACGTCGATTACTTCCCCCGAAACAGTTACCATCGGGTGTATGCAAATTGTATGCCAAAGATGTGACCGACGTTACAGTTCCGGACCGAATGGAACGGACGAAGCCGAAACGAGAAAACTTAATAATCGATTAATCAATCTAATTGGGGGGGGGCTCACGAGTTGCCACGATTAATCGAACAATTCGGGCTGCGGCGGTGTGTGTGTGTACATCGTTACATGTCTACTAATTATATTGTGTTAATTGTTATGGGTTTATTTATATATGTATAGATAATCGATATTTTACTTCGTGCACCTTTGCAATGTTGCGTTGTGTATTTGCGAGCGCGCGTTGCGTTCCACGTGTGTGTCAATTGTGTGTGTGTGTGTTCTGTCCGCGTCCTTTAAATTGTGTTGCGTTTGTGTTGTTTCCACGTTGGCGCACGTAAGCGGTGCGTCTGTATATGCGTTGCGTGCGCGTCGCGTACCCCGTGCTTGTGTCTTGTGTTCGCGCTGCGTGTGTGCACCTTTCTGTTGTGTACTTGTCATCGCTGGAGAGCGGTGGTGCAGTGATTACCGCATTGCACTACAAACCCGGTGACCCGAATTCGATTCCCGCTGAATGACCACCAAACCCAGTGACGATTCATCTGAACCGGTCCTGGGCCTCCCCTAGGGTTGACTCAGCCTCAAAACGAGTACCTGGTGGCGGTGCGTAACACATCGCCACTGGGGAGACAAAGGCGGCCGGGCGTGGTGCTGGCCACTCACCCCCTCGTGTGCCGTGACGGCATTCAGAGGTGCTGCTCACTCACAGCACTTGCCCCCAAAGTCTGTTAAAGGCTATACGGGGGATCTTTGTCTTTGTCCTGTCATATCATCGTCCAACCCACAGGCGCCCATTCAGACGGACACTAATTGCAAACGATATGTTGAGGATTGTTCTCAAATGATTTATTCGGCGATACAACTTGATTAAACATAAAGACACGCGCACGCACACACACACGTCTCGTTTGCAGGGAGACCTGGTTTTAAGAAATGTATACATGACGAACATTTGCGAACACACAGTATGCACGAGTGGAACATATCAGACGAGAACCAACGGCAATTATGGGAATATCCGAAACGATTCAACAATATTTACAAACTTGATTTGAAGCTAACGTGACAGCAGGAATTACT